CAGTTTTTCCTTTTTAATAAATTTACAGACATTTCTAAAATTCTGTTTTCACTTTGTCATGCAGACTTCAGGCTCCTGGAATCTCTCTTGATTTTATTAGAATCTCAAGCTGCTAGAATAGGGCTGTGCAACTTTTTCAAGGCAGCAAGCTACATTTAACCTTTGAGAGATGTGCAGGTAGGCAGACTCCAAAAAGTAGTGAGTGGGGCCAATATAAAGTACATTTTGTTTCATTTAAATTTTCTTTACACTAAATGGGAAATATGATAATACTCCATTCAAGTATTTTATAATGTTCCATTTCTATTAAATTAAAACTTACTATTTGACAGCAAGTTTTGGAGGTCCCCTGGAGCTGCACCAAGGATTTCAAGGGTCTGTATTGACCCTGAGCTTTATGTTAATGCCCCTATGTCCTATGTTCCAGAATCCAATGCAAACTAGAATCAGGAATCAAACTAAAATCAGACACAAAACAGAGGCTTAGGGGAATCATGTACAGTGGGGCAAAAAAGTATTTAGTCAGCCACCAATTGTGCGTTCTCCCACTTAAAAAGATGAGAGAGGCCTGTAATTTTCATCATAGGTATACCTCAACTATGAGAGACAAAATGAGAAAAAAAATCCAGAAAATCACATTGTCTGATTTTTAAAGAATTTATTTGCAAATCATGGTGGAAAATAAGTATTTATCAAAAGTTCATCTCAATACTTTGTTATATATCCTTTGTTGGCAATGACAGAGGTCAAACGTTTTCTGTAAGTCTTCACAAGGTTTTCACACACTGTTGCTGGTTATCAAAAGTTCATCTCAATACTTTGTTATATATCCTTTGTTGGCAATGACAGAGGTCAAACGTTTTCTGTAAGTCTTCACAAGGTTTTCACACACTGTTGCTGGTTATCAAAAGTTCATCTCAATACTTTGTTATATATCCTTTGTTGGCAATGACAGAGGTCAAACGTTTTCTGTAAGTCTTCACAAGGTTTTCACACACTGTTGCTGGTTATCAAAAGTTCATCTCAATACTTTGTTATATATCCTTTGTTGGCAATGACAGAGGTCAAACGTTTTCTGTAAGTCTTCACAAGGTTTTCACACACTGTTGCTGGTTATCAAAAGTTCATCTCAATACTTTGTTATATATCCTTTGTTGGCAATGACAGAGGTCAAACGTTTTCTGTAAGTCTTCACAAGGTTTTCACACACTGTTGCTGGTTATCAAAAGTTCATCTCAATACTTTGTTATATATCCTTTGTTGGCAATGACAGAGGTCAAACGTTTTCTGTAAGTCTTCACAAGGTTTTCACACACTGTTGCTGGTCAAATAAATTCTTTAAAAATCAGACAATGTGATTTTCTGGATTTTTTTTCTCATTTTGTCTCTCATAGTTGAGGTATACCTATGATGAAAATTACAGGCCTCTCTCATCTTTTGAAGTGGGAGAACTTGCACAATTGGTGGCTGACTAAATACTTTTTTGCCCCACTGTATCTAAAAGAATTAGTGAAGAAAGTTCCTCTGCATATAGCTTTGACCAAACACAGAATGTAGTAGATTCCTGCTTTGGGTATGGGCTTGGACTAGATCTCCAAGAGGCCTTCCAGCCCTTACATTCTATGATTTTATGTATCTTCACTATTACTTCTAGGCTCACAGGCCTTCCACACAAAATCCAGTCCTGATTTTTCATCTGGTTTTTTTAAATTTTGGAAACTACTTTACATGGCGTATTATATTAAACAGTTGAGAGTAGAAACTATATCACCCAGAGATCTACTATTAGATATGGTCTACCTTCTATCCATCTTTGCCATAAAGTAAATTCAACCCAAATAAGGCATCCACGTTCCATTTTTTATGATTGAAGAAGAATTTATAGCATGTCATGCCATACTGAGAGCCAGTTTAGTATAGTGGTTAATGCATCAGGCTAGAAACCAGGAGCTGGGTGACCTCGGGCACTCTCTCTCAACCCTAGGAAGGTGGCAATGGCAAACCACTTCTGAGAGCTTGCCAAGAAAACTGCAGGGACCTGTCCAGACAGGTGCCAGGAGTCAACACAGACTCAAAGGCACTCCCCCCATGCCATATCATTTGATATATTAATTCTTTGCTAATGTAAGAGAACATTACATTTTGGTATCGAGAACTATAAGTGATCACAACAATTAAGCTTCATAATGTTGCTGAAAAATATATTGTCTTCCTCTAGACCATAGACCAGATCAGTTGCTGCATGTCTCTTCAACATCTTGATTTGTCAGATAACAATATACCCCAAATAGGAGATATCTCCAGACTTTCATCTCTAAAGGTAAATATTGCTTAGATTATATTCTCTGAGGGTGTAAATATTCCTAATTAAGGAGTGAGTTCACAGTAGCATTTTCTTCAGGTAGCCATGAATAACATGGTAGTGTAGAACTGTTTCAAATAAAAATCCTCTGCAAATGCTTTTAAAGTATTTTAATCTGTTTTTCTTTAGTCCCACTAAAATGAATGAGATTTGTTAATCATGATTAACTAATCCAATGGAAGCGAAGCGTGACTACTATCATTAAATCTAACACATTACATTTCACTGAAACTAAAGAGAGAATATATTTATGAACAATGTGTTTTTTTTAAAAATTCCCTTGAAATGTCATTTATTTTTGACATAAAAATATATATTCAGCTGTATTTTCATAATAATAATAATTGTTATGTAGTTCTTTTATGAATATTCAGAGCAATTCATATTAAGTCAATGTCTACATATTGCCTTCTCCATTCTACTGTCCCTCAAGACTCTGCTGCTGCATGGAAATATCATAACTTCATTGCGTACAGCACCTTCTTGTTTACCTCAAGGCCTGACTATTCTTTCATTGGCAGAAAATGAAATTAGAGATTTGAATGAGGTAAGAATAACATTTTTGAGGAAAACCAAGTAGCTCTTTTTGAGAAAGAGAAATCAAGTACAACCTAAATTGCTATAGTTACATTCTATTATATTTTCTTCTATTTTTAGAAGAATAAATAACTTGTTTTTATTGATAAGTTTCTGGCACAGAAGATATGTATATTCTAAAATTAAATGACTGTTAGTAATTAGATATTATTAAAAATACTCTAAAAGGGGGAAAGACATTCATTGGTACAGATTCTTAAATTCTTTGCAGTATAGTTTTGAAATTTAAATATCAATCACTATGAATAAAAATAATATTTGGATTACTTATAAAATGCTTTACATTTAATAAACACAGGAATTAAAACAAAAACAAAATTGGCCGTGCCTGAGGGGAGAGGAGAACAAATGTTCCTGGTATATCGTACCTTTTTTTAGTAATGATCGGCTTGAACAGATTAAATAGTAGAAGCGTCAGTTGGCAGGCAATGTGAATTTGATTTTCATTCTCAACACCGTTATGAACGGAGCAGGGAGGAGTCATATTGTGAAGCAAATATGATTATGTAATTGTAAATATTTTTCTCTTAAAAACTCTCAGTAATTATACTTTGGGGTGAGAAGATAACTGTCAGTAATTATATTTTGGGACAAGAAGATAACTGCTCATAATTCCAATTCAGCAGGTTAAAAAAGTTTTTCACAATTTGTCAAAAAGTGAACTAGTTCAGTGTGATGATTAAAATGTAGACATTGGGAGTGCCCTGGTTCAATCTGTTCTCAGCCATGAAAATTCATTGTGTGATTTTGGACCAGCCTCTTTCTCTCACCACAAAGTACTTCACAGGGTTTGTTTTCTGGAGGTAAAGAAGATCTATGATCATACCTGATGTGGATGACTTTTTGTTTTTATGTTCTTAACTTCATGTCCAACAAAGAATAGAAATAATTGAAATGTCTTCCATATTACAATAAAGCTATTAACTGAAAATATTCTATTACTTTACAGGTTTAATAAATTCTGATAAATACTTAAAACAATGGTCTTGGAATACAATTAAGCAAGTAAAATTATTCTTCCCTCAAACAACATAACTAAATTATAGTATATATGTATAATGCTGTTCAGCCTGTAAATTTTCATCCAATTAATTGCCACAATGATTGTTTCCTTTTTTTTAGATTTCTTTCCTGACTTCCTTTCCTAAACTAGAGCAGCTATCAATTATGAACAATCCTTGTGTGATGGCAACACCTTCCATTCCAGGTTTTGATTATCGACCATTTATTGTCAGTTGGTGTCTCAGCCTTAAAGTAATTGATGGCTATGTGGTTTCTCAGAAAGAAAGGTAAGAATATTAAAATCACAAGGTAATGAATATGATTAAACTTAGTGTTGCCGTTAATCTATGCATCGACCCTACTTTAGAATTTGCAGGACAGATACCAAAGAACAAGAACATTAAGGGAGATGCCAGGATGGTAATAAATCTTGAAAAAGATTTATTAAGAAATTGCCCCTGAACATACTTACAGCATCAGAAGGATATGAGCCCAAACAGTGGGGAAGATTTCCAGAACTCAACTCACGAGAAAGCTGGGTAAAAGGGCATATTTTATAGCCCTTTTTCCCCACTGCCCTGCCCTTGGGAATGCTCACCCAGCACCGGGGTAATTAGCAAAAAGAGAATTAATGTTTGTATTTACATTTGTTGGAGAGGAAGGGATTACAAGAGAGTAACCAGGCACACAATGGGGAATACGCATAGAAAGGAATGAGCTGGCATTGGCTATTTGCCTTAGGAGGCAAAAGAAAGCCTTTAGTGTGAAAGTGATTAAGGTCTTGTCAGTTTCAGATAGCAGTGCAAGCCAGCTGGAGGGATCTAATCAACTAATTAAGGTCACAGAGGGAAGCTTGTTAATTTGCAGTTAGCATTTTAGGGAAGCTCTGAGCTGGGGAGAAAAGCAGCTCAGGAAGAGATAGCTTGTTTTAGCAATCTCTCTGCTACCAGGTAAAAGAAAAAAATGTGTCAGACACAGAACGCTGAGGGAGCATGCTATTCTTACATTTCTATATTTTAATTAAAATTATTCACATCTCCAGTTCTATGTCTTTCTTTACTGAAATTGTTGCTGCTTTGATATGATGATGATGATGATGATTGGTTAAAGCCTGATGTTTAGACTGGATCTGGCATTTTTGCCCACCTATTGAGTCCTTCTCAAGGAGCTGGGATAGGCAGACGTTGTTTACTAATATTAAAGGTATTGTCATAAGATGTTCCTGCCTTTTGCAGTTGACTGGTGGTGATTTTGTCAATGCTGATGGTGTTCAAGTAGTGCTCCAGATGTTTTGGAATTGCTCCCAAGGCACCTATTACTATTGGTACTATCC